AAATATCTCCCCCTGCAACTCAAGGATGTATGAAAGTTCATATTTTTTGTGTAGGTATGTATGTACATGTATGCGCTTATGTCATAACATATGTGTACATGTGACTTCCACAAAGGAATACTTAACGATTCGGAGCGGAAGGATTGAAGGCAAGTAAAAAATACAGTTTCATGCTTGTATATGAAGAACTATGCAACAAGAATGTTTAAACTGCAACATTCCTTCATATATATTCCACGCGCAACTTCATAGCACGAAAAGTGTTTGTATGTAAGCTTCGTAAGGGCATTAAGTAAGCGCGTCAAAAGCTTAAAGTAATTTCAAGTATCTTTACATGTATTGAGCTCTGCTTTTGACACCGGCTCGTAGTTGTTGTATTTTTAGAATTTATATACTTACGTACATAGGTGTGTATATTGAAATTCTTAGACTGAGCCCCTCACTTAAAGCCACATGGAGGCTTTCAATGTTGGAATAGGAGGATAAGGTCAAATTCATAGTTAAATAGTAAGTTGGACAACCAAAAGCAAAGACACAAAGTCAAGCAAACATGCATACATACCAGTATTTACAAGGACCATTCCACCGAAAAAGCAAAGAAAGTGTCCATTTTTAATTATCAGTTTTCCTGTTCAATTTAACAAGATGCACTGAGCTAAGCTTGCACCAAGAAACGTTTTCTTCAACAATCAAAATTAAATATTTTTATTAACTGAATAGAAATCGGTTGCAATAATCGAATGGTTGGTATTGCTTACCGCCATTCCGAGGGCTAGGGTTCCAGTCGTGGTCGAGTCCAAATTTATAGAAAATGAGTTTTTATTTATTGCGGTCGGTCGGAAGGGTATGTCAAAGAAACTGCCAGCCGTTCGAACGTGGCTTAGTATAAAATGTAGGTCACTTTATTTGTTTGAGAACATCAAATCGCACACCTCAAAGTGAACTCGGCCGAAATCGGAGGAATTTCAAGCCCGCGATCCACTTCCAGGATGTTTCCGTTTGAGGCTCACCTGAACTTTCACAAATATTTCAAAATCAAAATTAACCAAATCGATCCAGCAGTTCTCCAATTTGGACAAGGCAAACGGAAGGCAATTAATTGACTTTTATAAAAAGGGAATTTTTTTAGGCAAGTGGCTTTCAAAAATAAAAATAAATAATTTAATGTTATGAATAAAAATTCAAGTTTATTATAAATAAATGGGGTTTATTATTGGGTTCTGGAAATTATTTCAGACAAATGACTCGACTAGCGGGGAAAGTTCCACTGTCATATCGACTATTCTCTTCCAGGGCATCAATAAGACCGGACATAGCTACGTTCAAAAGCGACTGGACACGACCCAACAAATAATTTTACGTCGCGCTCTTGGGGGTCACACAGACCTACTATATTGCTGTCTTGTTGGAACCAAAGATCGTCCAAATCAACTTCTTCTCAAAAATGGCTTATGGATTAGCATTACTGGAAGTGAGCTTGATCGTTAATCAAAATTTTCTTGTAAAAATCGGAATCGTTGTTGAACTCATTTTTTATCCATGCTTGATGGTCATTCCATAAGCCAACTTCTAAAAATTGCCCTATTGCCTTATTGAAATCCACACCTCGAAAAGAACACCCTTTATTAGTTGTGCAGGCATTACTCTCAAAATATGTCTACCATGAAGTGTTTCATTGTGATTTTGCTGAAGATCGCAAGAGACCATGAGACCAAGAGATCTGTATGCAATGCCACTTGATCCCCAATTTTGTGATCAGAAATGTCAGTTCAACCATGCATCCCTGCCAAACCACCTATCATGCACATATTTGCGTCGTCTTCTCGAGAAAGCGATTCAATATTTTTATTTATCTATTTATTTTTATTTTATTTAAACAAATAATGACAGTCTCGTTTCTCTTAGGACACTCCTCGCATCAGGTCAATGAATAAGTTTGGGAGTTTGAAGAAAGGAAATATGCTTTCGTATATACTCGTACACTCATGTGGCATTATCGTAAGCTGCAAGCAAACTGTTTCCAAATATGCTAATTACACACACTCATACAAGTCTATTTACGTGATATGTTACTACTGGCACGAATTTCTCAAAGAGCTTTTAACCCTCTGCATCTAAATCCTGCCTTTAGGCGAGCTAAGTACTTAGCAAGGGCGTTCTTGTGCTTTAGAGAATCCCAAAATTTTATTGAAGTACACGATTAGCTTCTGTTTGCGCAATCAGCAGCAGCTACAGCCATTTAAATAGGTAAATTAGTGAAATTTTATACTTTAATTGTCATCGTTATCTGGTAGCGACCGCAGTAGCCGAGCAGTTAGCGTAGCGCACTACGTACGTACGTCAAGCTCCCCGAGTGTATTTTTGACATTCAAATCAAAGCTCTTCGTAAAAGTTAAATAAGCCCTTCGAAGTGTGTTGAGAATAAAATGTAGGTCCCTCGCTTTGTTGGAAAACATCAAAACGCAAAATCACCAACTGGATTAAGAGCTCGGCCGACAAACGCTTCAGCGGTTACGAAGAAGAATAAAAAAAGTTTTCGAAATGCCCGAGTTTGATATCGATACTGATTAAAAATAGAATAGAGTATGGTTCTTCTTAAAAAGACGGTTTTGACAGAACAACAGATGAGGTTCGAGGTCTGTCCAAATCAACACTCATGCTCAAGATTTGCTTAGATAGCAGTTCGATATGTATTTGTTTTTGTATTTACAGCCATCAGTAGTGATTGTCTATTCACATATGCAACCGTAATAGGTCTGTCACCGATCGCAAACTCTTCCTCAGTCCAAAGTAACAGTTCATGTCAAGTGTGATTCTGCGTTGAATGACATTGTTGATGGTTCTCTTCTTAAATCTTTTCACCAGCATGTCGTGAAATTCTAAAAAAAATTGCTGAAAAAATTCAGCGCTGACCATTTAACTGAGAATTTTCGGAAACTTTCTGGTCTTATTTTTTATTTCAGAAATATGCTTCAAATTAGGGAACTCAAGTTAGGAGGTGACGCGCAGAGCACAATAAGGGCTTATGGGGTTAAGGGTGCATACCAAAAGCAACTTTTAAAAAATATATGATTTGCGTTTAATACCATCACTGTCATTTTACACGTCACATAAAGACAAATGCAAGGCCATTTATTGCAAATTAACAGTTATATTGTACACTAACGGTACTTTTGTTCAACTTTTGTCTGTCTGCATTGCAATGCCAACCTCATTCCCTTCACATGCGCCGCCAGTCGAAATAAAGTGCACCTATGATGGCACTTTGAAAAGTACCTACCGCCCCCCCCCCCCCTCGAGCTTGAGCTGCAAATGCAAATTTCGTGCAAATTTTATTTTTATGTAAATTTATAAGCGTTCTGCGCTTTGTTCCCGGTACCTAATCCAATTAATGTTGAAAATGAATTTTGCTAATAAAAAGCTTGCCGCCCCTGCTGCCATTGCCAGCAACACTACTGATCGCCGACCACTCAAAGCGAGTGACGGTGTTAAATTTTAACTGTTAATTTAATAGTGTGCTTTGATGAAATTTTCAGATGAGTGAGAAAGTTTCGCGCTAAGCCATCGCCGAAGAGCGCTAAAAAATTAAAAATTCATTCGAAATTGCAGCAACACCGTTGCCGATGCATTCTGTTGTTGTAGATCTAACGGAAATGACAATGGACAGGTACACACAAGTACACAAGTACATATGTATGTATGTATGTATGTATGCATATGCATATGCATTGTTATGAGTAAATAGCGAAGTAAAATCGCAAATACTCGCGACGCTCACAGTGCCGCTATTTGCAGTGCAAACCGAAATAACGGTTAATAACTATAAGTTCAGTCGCAACGTAGTTGTGGCAGTGCAACACTAATCAAATTGTGGTAACGTGTGTGCTCTCGCTTGTTTTACAGCTCACATCCTCTACAATTTCCGGAATTCGCGGCACAACTGAGTGGCAATGGCAGTGTTTTGGATAGGGTAAGTGTCGTAGTGTGGGTGAGCGAAATTAATTTAACTAGTTCACTAACATAAAAATATTTAAAGACATGTTCGAAGTACGTTTAACAGTTATTTAAGTAAAAAAAAGTTTAAAAGCAAACTGCAAACGGTTGAAAGGAAAATCATATTTATATATACAGCCTTGGCCAAAAGTATTAGGCAACCCCACCCCAGAAGTATTCTCAAATGTGGCTATCAAAGTTACCACTTCTCTTTGTAAATGTCTTACATGGGTGTTTAACTGTTAATTAAAGAAATGAATTGTGTAATATTATGAAAGTCATAGCACTCGGGACAAGCTAAACCTAAAAATTGTCATAAGAAATTCATAATATATTTTCGCATATAAAATTTTAAAGTGAAGGTGTAAATTACACTTAGTGAAAAGTTACCAATCTTATAAATGCAATTCATATTTATCAAAATGCTTAAAAAAGTGAAATTAGTTACGATGATAGAGTTAAAATTCAAGTTCTAAGTGAAGAAGGTAAGTCTCATCTTGAAATTGTCGATTTGGTGGGATGTTCGCGGTGCGCGGTCCAGTTTGCTTTCAGGCAATTTGTGGAGACGAAATCCCACAGTAACAACTGAAAAAGTGGAAGAAAGCGTCTAACCAGTATACGAGAAGGCCGAATACTCAAACGCCTGTCTCTCAAAGATCTCAAAAAATCTTCTTCTGCCCGTGCAGCTGCCTTTTCGGATGAATTTAGTAAACCAGTTAGTGCTTGAACAGCTAGAGGAAGACTTCTGAAAGCAGGCTTAAAAGGATGTGAAGGATGTAGCAAAGGAAAAATCATTTGGAATGGGCTCACCGATACCAGCATATCAAGGAGGAATATTTGTCGAATGTTCTGTGGTCTGACGCATCAAACTACGAGGTGAGCTTAAAGTATTAAACGCCATAGCTTCTTACCCTAGCGCAATTTTGAAGTCGTAATACAAATCTTATGAAAACATTATTTGATATTTTCTAGAGATATTTGGAACACCTCGTGAGACGTTCGTGAAGCGACTGGTTGGAGAAGAATATCATCCAGATTGCGTGGTACCCACTGTTAAGCATGGAGGAGGCAACATTATGATCTCGGTGGGGCTGCATGGCTGCTGATGGTGTCGGCGAGGATCGCATGGATAGTCAAGAGTACATAAATGTATTAGAAGCTGTTCTTTTGCTTTCGTTAACGCGCATTTTTGGCGATACTAATTTAGACGGTTCAATTGCAGCAAGATAATGCTTCTAGTCACTAATCAGCGACTACGATGCGTTGGTTTAGAAATAACAACATTGTTTTATTCGATTGGCCTGCACAGTCTCCAGATTTAAACGCAAAATTAAGGAACACAGTATAACATCAAAAACTGCCTTAAAGAATGCTTTAATTCACGAGTGGTACGCTTTAAGTGTGGACGAAGGTGAAAAACTTGAACGCAGCATGCCTAAGGGAATTGCTGTCGTTATTAAATCGAAGGGTGAACCTACTAAATATTAATGTTATTGCCACTAGTTCTTTGTATTTTCACTGTTTTGCTAATAAAACTTCATTGCAACACTTGTTAAAGCAAAAAATTCAGTAATTAGTAGGGTGCCTAATACTTTTGGCCCAGACTGTATATAATCGACGCTTTGTAACCGCTAAAGCGATTTTCGGCCGAGCTCCTCCTCCAATTTGTGGTACTCATCATGTCATAAATGTACTCGAAGTGCTTGACATTCCCTGCCGAGGGCGACCTCACTTAAGAAGTTCATTTCGGATGTTGGTCGCACCAAGACTCGAACCCTGGCCTTAAGACATAAAACAAAGAAGAGCACTACCAAGCATACTAGTTTCATTTGTCGACATATATCCCCATATACATACTTACAATTACGCACACATTTGTTTCTTAATTACATAGCATGGAAATTAAGCAAAAGCAAAAAACTGTGATGTTTACTGATTCTCTTTGGCTTGCTTCCAACAGGTGATAATCCAAAAGGGCTTAAAATAGTGCGTTATCCGTTGTGATTTACCAATGAACACTGAAAAATATTCATTTTCCATTTGACTATTTAAGTATATGTTTGCAAGAGTCTTATAGACTAGATACACAAATTACTTAAGATTGTTTTTCCTATCGACAGAATATTGGAAAGATATATGATAATAATTGTCCTTCAGCCGTTCGGATGGTCCATCCATTTTGTGCAAAATACATCAAGACATTTCTGTAGTTGGAGCAAATTATGGAAGCTTTTTTATATCGGGAAACACATCGGTATTTAGAAGTGAACTCAAGTAAATTAGTAGCTCCACAGTTTCGGTTCATATAGCTATGCTGGTAGCATGAAATAAATGGGCTGATTGAACAAGCCAAGTAATTTTTAGATAGCAATTCAAATATTTTTGGAGTTGCAGAGAGTCAGGTGTACCTCTTAACCGGCGTAATTATTATTATTATATTTTTTTTTTAGCATTTAAGTTAAAAATGGACCTGCATTATTCGTTAAACAGTAAGAGGCCTCCGGTTTATAGGCCTCCACTGTGCACTATACGGCGGTATTGGCTCAGCAAGAGTAGTGGGTTAGGGGCGAAATGGATAGAATTTATTTGCACTGTTTCAAATCGAAAGCATAAAATAAGAAAGATTTTCATAAATTTAATCCTAAGCTATGGAGCCCAATTACCGTTTCGAACGTACTGTGAAATTGTATAAAATTTTTCTAGTATAACAGTCATTGAGTCTCTGGTGTTTGGTGTTGGCGGAGTGCAAAGTCATGCACTTTTGAGTTTTTCGCAATCTTCATATCCCAAATCCTTGGAGTTTAATCACTGGATCACTAAATAAAAGCGCCAGAACTTGTTGCTCTGTGTCTCTATTGCAAATGCACTGCTTACTCCACTGCACTTTACACGGATGTTGTAACTGCCGAGTTCCAAGCTCAATCGAATATGCTGGTGTGCTGACCACCGGTCCTACATATCTAATATTTTCACTTTAGCCCCTTTTTTTATTGTTCTCGATAACGAATATTCCATGCATGTGGTGTAGAAGATGCTTTCAATAAATGCATTCTTTATTTTCTAGTAAAAAGTAATCCATTATTGTTACTTTAAATTGAATTACAATTATTCGATGTATGTCAAATCTGCACCGTTAAACTCGTTTTTGCTTTTTGCCATTTTGATGGGAACGTTATTAGGCCAGTCCAATTATTGACAGTATACGTCGGAACTAAAAGTGCTGAAGTAGTGGTGCAGCTCATATTGGCTGATTCCTTGTCAATGCCCCTGAAAACGCACAAGAAAACCTTAATAGCCATCAAACCTGACTTGTGGACCGTTTGTGTCGGCACACTGCCCCTCGGTCATGACCGTTTTCGCTTGACGTCGCCGCCCGCTTCAGAAATGATTAGATTTTGATACGATTTTGATTAATAAAAATATGTTTAGTGACCTATAAAAAGGCCGCCGTACCAATCAATTTGATCACCTTTGCTTGAGCAATTTAATCTTTGCCTTCTGCATTAACCAAATAATTTTTTAAAGTGTACATATGTACGAGTACACACCCTCTTATTGCGTATTTACTTACTTGCATCAGCACATTTGTCAAAATCAAACGATTTCATATTGCGCATACTTCGGCGCCTATATGTAGGCTACAAAATTTAGCGGGGCAGCTCAGTGCGTCAATTTTAGCTGTGATTTAGTTTCTAAATGATAATAAAATCTGTCGGGCGCAAATTCTACAAAACGAAAATGTACAATTTTTCCGAGTTGCTCGATGAGAGTAATTGGCAACGGTTAGTGGTTGTTGGTCAATAAATGAATTTAATTATTTTTAATTTTCGTCTAAATGCGTGCAATTCCCACAGTCTCAATCAAATCTGGCGTGATTTTGGCAAACAATGTGAATTAGTTGTGGCAAACGGCTCGATTACCGATTGTGTAAGTAAAAACGATTTCAAACAATTTTTTTTTATAAAGTAAAAAGGAAAATTCAATGTAAATCGTACATGGGAGGGGTATTCAGGCGAACGAGTCGTTTCTGTACTAAAATATTTAGAAAAATTTTAAATTTAAAATGTTATTATTTTCTGTCTGAAAGGAGAGTTGTTCTCGCTTACGGCGATATCTTCATATCTTTTCATATCTTATGGTATTTCATTTTAGGATTAAAAATTAATTCCAATATCTGAACAAATCGGAGATTGGAGGTATATGATGTAGTCGTCCGATTTCGATAACAATATGAAATTCAGCAAATTTCTAGCCCTTGGACGATTTTTTGAAAAAGTTACTACCCAACATCCCTACTCTGAAAAATCTGTCTTATATGAATATGCCGGTGTGTCCGGTTCCAAAAATTATCGTTTAATAGCGCGAGAGCGACTGTGTCCCAAGCCTGGTTGAAATACCTCAAAGACGAAGGACTATTTTAGGTACAAATAGACGGCAAGCAGACAGCCTACTTTATTTGTCATTCTGATTCAATTGGTATACATTTTGATGGGTCTATCTCTTCTCCTTCTGGTGCTTGCATACTTCGGTCCGAAGTCAATATACAATTTCATTTAAATGAAGTATATAATAAGACATTTTATCCCTCAAAGTTAAGTTGCCAAATTTATTTTTTTTCTCATCACTCCCACAGGTCACGCCCGACATGGCACATCTGGTCAATCCCTACTGGAGCAAATTCCCACCAATGGATTCGACAATGAGCCAAATATTGGGTCTCTTCACACTCGTGTTACTCCTCATCTCCGCTTGTGGCAATGGTGTTGTGGTCTACATATTTGGTGGCACGAAATCGCTGCGCACACCTGCCAATTTGCTCGTGCTGAACTTGGCATTTTCCGACTTCTGTATGATGGTCTCTCAGGCGCCTGTCATGATCATCAATTTTTACTATGAAACCTGGATACTGGGACCGCTGTGGTGCGACATATATTCCATCTGCGGCTCGATGTTCGGCTGTGTGTCGATTTGGTCGATGTGTATGATTGCATTGGACCGTTATAATGTGATTGTGAAGGGTGTTTCGGGTCGCCCAATGACCATAAAATTGGCGATAATGAAAATCGTTGTCATCTGGTTGTTTGCGACATTTTGGACACTTGCACCGTTACTCGGTTGGAGCAGGTTAATATGTGCGATTTTTGTGCGGAAATTAATACTCAAATATTAATCCTTTTTAAATTAAATTTCTGATTACTCATTATACAATAAATACACACCCTTACACATATTTACACATATTTACAGATATGTGCCTGAGGGCAACTTAACCGCCTGCTCCATTGATTATATGACACGCGAGTGGAACCCGCGCTCCTACCTGCTCACCTACTCGCTTCTCGTCTACTTCACACCGCTCTTTCTCATTTGCTATTCATATTGGTTTATCATTGCGGCCGTGGCGGCGCACGAGAAGGCAATGCGCGAACAAGCGAAGAAGATGAATGTTAAGTCGCTGCGCTCCTCGGAGGATTGTGAGAAAAGCGCCGAGGCGAAATTGGCAAAAGTAGCTCTGACCACAATCTCATTGTGGTTTATGGCTTGGACACCTTATTTAATCATTTGCTATTGCGGCCTCTTTGAGGTGGACAGTCTGACGCCGTTGAACACAATTTGGGGTGCGACATTCGCCAAGACGAGCGCCGTTTATAATCCCATTGTCTATGGAATAAGGTGAGCTCGAATGCGTATAGGTAGATATATTTGTGTGTATGCTTGAGTAATGATATTATTAATTAATATGTGATTATTGTAATTACAGTCATCCGAAGTATCGTTTGGTCTTGAAGGAGAAGTGTCCGTGTTGTGTTTTTGGCTCCACGGAAGAGGCGAAGCCAGATGCGCCAGCAGCGGAGAGTCAAGGCACAACTGAAGCCGAGACAAATGCTTAGCGAAGGAAGCCTGGCTGACGAATTAATGCGATTAATAGTTCCTGAACTCTTTGGATATTTCAAGGAAGTAATAAATGAAAATATAAAATAAATGAGTGAATTCCCTATTATTGAAATAAAACAAGTTTAACAAGCAGAAAGCTAGTAAGTTAGCTTAAATGGCAAGATATTTTATTTTAAAAGTTATTGTGTAATTTTATTTAAATAGAGAATTATGCCATACCTCACATTTAGATCCGGACGTAGTTTTAGAAGGGTGCAATCGAACCCAAAGAGCGCTCGAATATATGTATTTAAGGAACTTTTTCTTGGTTTCAAAAGTACTGGGCTGTATTATGACATCCTCAAAATCTAACTGCCAAACCAAACATGCTTTGTTCTAGTTAAAAGTCAGGCAATTAAGAAACTGGAACACTCAACAGTCGCACAACGCATTAAAACAGCTAAAACCTACTACAAAAGAGGGTCTAAGAGTAGATTATTTTAAACTCTACAGAATTTTGAGAAGACTGAATCGGCCGCAGATTTTGTAAGGCCTGCGCAATATCGTTTTCCTCGTTCCAACTCAAATATGGTGGAAGTGTAGAGGAAGACCTGCATGTGTCTATTTCGCGACGCTTTCAAGAGCTGGGACTTTCTAATGATGTAATTTGCAAAGCCCAGCTCACACAAAAACTGAAGCCAACTGACGATTTATTACGCCGTACATACGTCGATTGGATGCTTAAACAATTTTTCGAGCTAAATTTTCTTCAACGACAAGTGCTTTTGACTTCTCCCACGCCTCTGCGTCATATAGTAGGATGGGTATGATGAGCGACTTGTTTTTGTTCGCCCAGAGAGGACTTCACTATCCAATTGCCTACTCAGTCCAAAGTAACACCAAGACAAGAGTGGTTCTGCGTTGGATTCCAAGGCTGACATTATTATTAGTGTTGATCCTGATTCCTAGATAAACGAAATTGTCTACGACCTCGATGTTATGACTGTCGACAGTGACGTGGGAGCCGAGTCCCTAATGTGACAGAAGATATTTCGTCTTGCTCTCTTTATCCACCCTGGAGAAAGCAGAACTCACGGCACGGTTGATGAGGTCAATGATGTCAATATCATCGGCAAACGCTAGCAGCTGTACACTCTTATAGAAGATTCTACCTTCTCTAATCAACTCTGAAGCTCTTATAATTTTCTTTACCAATAAATTAAGGAAGTCACACGATAAGGAATCGCCCTGCTGACGACTCGTTTGGTATCCTTCCCAATTCTGGTTTCGCTTATGCTGTTGTCTAGCGTCAGTTTACACAGCCGTATAAGTTTTGAGGGGATACCAAATTCAGACATTGCGGTGTAGGTGCAGCTCCTTTTCGTGCTATTGAAAGCTGCTTTGGTGGGTGTCGATCCTCTATTCATGGCGATTTTCCAAGATTTGCCGCAGGGTGAATATCTAGTTAATGGTTGGCTTACCAGGTCTGAAGCCAGACTGATAAGGTCCAATAAGTTTGTTGACGGTGGGCTTCAGTCTTTCACACAATACGCTCGACAGTACCTTATAGGCGATATTGAGGAGGCTTGTTCCACGGTTATTGGCGCAAACTGTGGACAATCGTCGGGCATGATTCTATTCGACCATATTTACAGAGACACTGATGCATGCACCTTCTCAGCTCTTCCCGCCATGTTTGAATTGCTTTGCCTGTAGGCCATTAACTCCAGTCGCTTTGTTATTTTTTAACCGAGCAATCGCTATTCGAACTTCTTCATAATCGGGTAACAGAACAACTTTTCCTTCGCTGTCAATTGGAGTTTCAGGTTCAAAGTGTTCCTTCCATAAATTCAGTATACTCTGGGCATTCGGCCATCTTCCCAAGCTCTTCATACTCCGCATTCCGGCCTCTTTCAACAGCAGTTTTCATCGTACCAGCTGATTTTGCGACCTTTCCGAAATCCAATAGTTTCGTTTGCAGCTATCCGTAAGGAGCTTGAAATTCCGTCCCACAGTTTTCTCAAACCGGGTTACTGATAGGTACTCTCAGAGAGCAGGTATGAAAGTCGAAGAGAAAACCGCTCGGCAGTCTGCTGTGATTGCAGATTTTTAACGTCGAACCATCCCTGTGGTTGTTGATGGGCTTTCTTTAACAGAGGCGCGTGCGTATCTTCGCTGCAATATTATAGTGATCCGAGTCGATGTTATAATCTCGGACTGCTGTCATAACGCCTAAAAAAACTTCGAGGGCATCAGACTCTCTTTGATTCGGGGGTATAATTGGACTTTACGTCTTTAAAATGACAGCAGCGAGATTGTGACAGTCCATTGGGAGCATTATGGCCGTACTATAACTGAGTTTTTCGGACTGCTGTTCAAGAGCACGACTTGCACAAAACGTGGTTACAACAATATGGTGTCACGTGCCACACAACAAGAGGGAATGGTTTTATTGCGAGAGAACTTTCCTGGCTGTGTAACCTCTCGTCTTGACGATATCAATTAGCCACCCAGATCGTGCGATTTTGCACGCTTTGGCTTTTTTTTGTGGCTACCCGAAGACAGTGTACATGCATATAAACCTTCAACTCTTAAGCATTTGAAAGCCAAGTTATAAAAAAGGTAACCCTCGTATATTTACAAATCAAGCCCAACCTCGGCCCAAACCTTTCCAAAACGTTGATTTTTAATTTCATACAGCAAATGCCATATTTTATGGGCGTAAATTGGTAAACAACTAAAAAATTTAAAAAAGAAAGCTTTCCATTTGGTTTGCGCTTTTTCAACTTAACTTGTTAAGCTTACAATAACAATAACAATAACAATAACAATAAGAATGATGCGGATGAATAAGTTGAATTTATTACCCCAGTTTTTTAACAATTTTCGCAACGAAATTTTTTAAACAATTCAAAATGTAGAAACACTTTAGTTATAGTGCACTTAACTACTATGTTTATATTGTTGTTGTTAACATTCGTAAATATTGCATAACTTCAATAGCAAAAATTAAAAAAAAAGTGAATAAACACATACAACTGGGTAAACATACATACACATATGCTGTATTTGAATATGCATATGTATGTATGGATAATCCCTGTAGCTCGACTACTTCGGTTCACCACTAACGATTCAACTAGCTCTCAGGGTGAGTACTGGTCACAGGCCCAAAAGACATCCATTCGCCTTACTAGCGAATTTGTTATGAGGATATCATTGCAACGTAGCGAACGGTACGACGTTGCATTACGTTGACTGGCGCGAAGTGATTGATTCTTTCGTTTTTATTTATTAAAGTAGATATACTTATATATTGAAATTTATCATTTATATTATTAATTTATTTTCACAATAAACAAACGAGAAAGCAAAAAGCATCCTTGACATTTACCTACAAGTCAATTAAATTACAGGCAAAAAAATGGCAGAAACATCTGGAATGGGCTTGACCGCGGAATTTTTACCACTATAACCACTACTTGGCGATTTGTCTAACGATTGGTAATGCGCACAATCGTTATGCTACAATCAATCTTATGAGAGCACCAAGTAAACACAAAGTTGTCACCTCTTGCCCAAGCCGTTAGTGACGGTTGTCCCGCAGAAACCAACGGCAATTTGATTTTTTCCGTAAAACCGGCTCGGCTCATTTCTCGTTGCTATACAAGGTTGCCAGTATAGATTTTTTCAAAGTAATATTAAATAATCTAAGATAATGCGTAGTTTTTTTTTCAAAAGAAATGAAAAATAAATGCGTAACTAATTATTTGTCACCATAGAGGTCATGTATATTTGATTTGCATTTATATTAAATTTTGAATTTTGTTGACGAAAATTATAAATTTGTTCAAAAGAGTGTAAACACACTGGCAGCTGGCAACATTTCGCCCCTCTCAGCAGCGTCGATAACTCGTGTACGTATTTCGCTCTTGACGTCGGCTGTTACGGACGGTTGGTGAGTAAAATGGGTAGTTGCAGCTTAAGGATTGGTAATGCACACAATCGTTAGTCTGCGGAGGTTGTTGGACACCATGAGAACTACTGGGATGCTTACATAGTACAAATGCAGCTCACTTGATAACTCATATTTTTAACGAAATTTGTTCAAAATATAAACGAAACCTTACTCAATTGCATTGTTGTTGTTGTTTTTGGTTGTGAATGAGAACTCATGAGAGAGTCCATTTATCAGAATGAGCGGCATAAAAACTATAAATATTTACATATATTGCACATACATGTGTACATATGTAAAAGTGTGTGAAGATGAGAAAACCGCAAATGTATTCTACATATTCCCACATTCGGAGGCAGAAAAAAGTGTGTAAACAAATGAGTGTGTGTATGTGTATGTGTGTGCAGTAAATATAAGCGCATTTGTCACTTTTTATCATTGCATTGTATATTTTTAATTCCCTTTTTGCGGCATCCTCTTTTGTTGTTGCACTGCTCTCATACTCGTCAGAAAGTAATTGATTTGATTGACATGTGGCAGTCGTTGTGGCTTATGGCAGCCCCTCGGTGGACGATTGGGGAAATAAACGAATTTGAATGCCATAGATATGTATATATGAAGCATATCAAAATATTTTGTTAAAAAATTACATGAGCAGGGTTTTTGTTTTTGTAAAGGCTCTCATATGTATGTGCATATATTAATGGCTTTTAAATAATTTTATTCACACAAAAATATATAAAAACAAGAAAAATGTTTCATTTAAAATATCAAATACATATGTATATGTGTATGACGGCCTTCTGCGAGAAATATTTCGAACAAAAATGAAATGTTTTCAGTAAATTTGTTACAAATATTTTGAAAATAAAGGGTATTTTTTTAGACGTGTGCTTTTCAAGAAAAAGTAAAACGCAAATAATTTAACTTTATGACTGAGAATTTGGCTTTATTATAAAGATGAAAGTTCGCCATTATGTTTTAAAAATGATTTCGGATAAGTGACTGCTGGGACTGCCTCTAATAAATTCCCGTGGAGAGATCTCATTTTCGAACACTTTTTGCGCACCGAGTATTCTGTTCCATGGCGTTAATCGTCTCGGAATAATCTGCGTAAGCGAGCGACTTTACATAACCCCTCGAAAAATTCTCCAGCCCAGAATTACAGTGCCAGT